ACAGAAACATGAAGGCAACCTGAGATGTCAGCGCCCCTCTGCTCCACCGTCAGCAAACTTGAGTGAGAGCATGAGAGCAGCAGAATCACAGCACCGACACCCCCACTGGCTGCAGCATTCTGGACTAACTGAAGCTTGTTAAGGCTTTTGCTGAAACATCCAGAAAGCAGGATTTTACAGTAATCTAGCCTTGAGGTAATAAATGCATGAACTAGCTTTCCTGCATCCTGTAGAGACAGTGCATTTCTTAGTTTGGCAATATTGCAAATACAGAGGTAAGCTATGCTAGTAATATTGGTTATATGTGCATCGAAGGACAGATCAGGATCAATTGTGACACCAAGGTTTTTTACAGATGTTCCTGATGCAACTGAGAAACTATTAAGCTGGACTAAGAAGAAGAACGGCTGTTTTCTCTGAGTTTACTTTTTTTTTCATTTATTTGTTTCCTATGCAAATATCAGCTTAGTTGTGCCACAGCTGTTTCCAAAATCTTTGACATAAAGGGATTATTTGAGATGGGTTTATAATTTGATAGCTTGCAGGGATCAAGATTAGGTTTCTTAGAGGTCTAATTGCTGCTAGTTTAAGAGTTTGTGGTATATAATCAAGGCTAAGGTTTTAGGGGATGAGGACCTCTGGTATTCAAAGCCAAGAGTGCAACTGAGAACTTTTAGGAATTGGAATATGCAAGTAGATGTTTTTGAAGAGGACATAATTTTAACTAGCTCTGTTTGTTGAAGTTAAAGGAATCCAACCTCTCCGCAATAGTCACGCTGTATTCAAGATCTGGATTAGCTTTGTAGTTCAGCAGGTTTGCAGAGGTTGACTGTGCGTTTTGAGTTTTTCGCCTGATTGTTTCAATTTTGTTATTGAAAAAAATCATAAGATCATTGCTGCTGTAGACAGATGGCATCTGGGGTTCAGTAGCTGTTTGGTTCTGAGTCAGTTTAGAAATTGTGTTAAGTAATAATCTTGGATTCATATTCTTATTTTCAATCAGAAAGAAGAGGTGTTTGAGAGGTTGATCGTGCTGCAGTAAGTGCCCTTCTAAGACTCTCCTTCCAGGCGGAGTGGAATACTTCTAATGTAGTCGATCACCATTTTTATGATCTACACACCATGGGGCGAGCTTTTGTGCCTTATTTTTTTACTTTTTAATGGAGCCACATTATCTAGAGTAGAACACAAAATATCCTCTGAGCACTCGGTCATAACATATAATTTGATAGGTTCAGACAGACAGCTGATAGGAGCTGATAATTGTGGGAGGTTTCTGAAACAGCCACTACCTATGGAGAATGTTATAGTCTGCTTGACATGATAGTGTGGCCATGAACATGTATTATGACTAAAGCGAATTTCAGATGAGATTAAGTAGTAATCTGAGACAGCTGTGCTCTGAGGGAGAATGGCTAAAGGATCTATGTTTACACCAATAGTCAAAATTAAGCCAAGACTAAGGTTGCAATAATTAGTGGACCCCTTCATATTTTGAGTGGAACCAACAGAGTCTAAGATAGATACAAACATCTTACTTAATGGATCCTGTGGTTTGTCAAAGCAGATATTAAAATCTCTGACAATTATTATTCAAGAGTGTTATTAAACTTGATAGAAAGGCAGGAGATCCTTGTAAGAACTCAAAATATGGCCCTGGTACCCAGTAAATTGTGTTGAAAATTGTAAATTAGTGAAAATGAATTCTTATTTGTTTCTCAATCACTTTTATTATGAAAAACACTGCCAAAAGAAGAGAATTTTTGCCTGCTTTCTGGTTCATGCCTAAAGCTTTTGTATAAATGATCACTATACCTCCACTTGGACTGCTTAAACAAGGGCTGTGTACATAATTGTAGCCGAGGGCTATTCAGGTCTAATCTAAATTTCTGTGACACAGACACAGAGCATCAAGAGCATGATCAGCAATAAATAATAAATAACAGCTTTAGATGTAAGAGATATTTTGTTAAGTAGTCCTAGTTTTAGACCAAAGGTGCTGTCATTGCAAATTGGTTGAACTGGTATGATATTGATTAGATTAGTAAAACAAACCTTTCAAGGTTTTCTGACATTTTGTTTCATTCAGTGAACAGATAAGTCTCAGTTGGATAGAACCTATGTGGCATCTCAAGGCAGCTAGCAGATGATTGGTTTAGTCTGTCTGTCTGCTGCCTGGTCTTGGCTCTCATTTGTCGGCAACTAACCACCCTACACTGACAAATATCTCAGACATTATCTAAGACCAGGCTTGCCCTCAAAAGTAAACCAATTATCTAAAAAGCCCATAAGGTTTTCTGAGCACCACTTGAACAACCAGCAGTATAGCAACCATAACCTGCTTTTATGTCATAGGGCTTCTCCACCTGAGCCCTCCAGTAAAGTTCTCTGCTGGTACTACTCTGGGAACCCTCCCATTCTCCCCTTCAAATGTTGGATGATGTAATACCTTGGCAATGTTACATGATAGGCTCTGCACTTTGTTGTCCCACCAGGGGTTGTCAATTTGTTCTCACTAGGTCAAAAGGTGAAGAATATGGCCCTTTGGTGCTGTGTGGATGCTTTAGTAATATAAGACCCTAGCTGTGAAGTTTGGGACAGCACCCACACAAAACATAACACAGAAACATGCATAGGAGATGACGACCATTCCCATGCTAGTCCCGTGTTTCTAGCTCTTCTCAGAAGCTACTTCCTGTCTCTACCCACTTTGGGGCCAACGCTCAAATATATCATCAGGCACCTTCATATGTCCACACGTCGAATTTGGGACCTGTACAACCCCCCAAAGCCAATAATTAACCCCATGCCAAAAATATGTAAGGCTGTGTCAGGAGGCTCTTGGCTTGGTACACTGCATCAAGTTTAAGGTTGGGGTGGAAGTGTTTGGCCATGTCACAAAATACAAGGTTGCAGGAGCGTGAAATTTACATGTGTCAGACTTCCCAAGGGCCTGACCAACATATTCAAATTTCAGGGCCCAGAGTCAAAAGAGCAAAGAGACATGGGCCTCTAAACTTGCATTTTGTGGCTGGTGGAGGTAGGTCATACAGCACATCCTATTTGGGATTGGTATGACCCTGCCAAGGCAAAAAATCTACCCTATGACTCGGTCAAGTGGCTCTAGGGTTGGTACACTGCTTGAGAATTAGAGTTGGAGTGGGAGAGAGGCAAGTCGTAGGGTCACCAAAGTCAGAACACATTGTCTCATCAAGACACTACTCATATGTCAATTTGGTGACCCTAAGCCTAGAGGTTGCAGAGATATAAATGTAGACACTGTGGTATTATACACACACTTTCATAATACACAACCCTAACACTGAAATTTGGCACAGTACCAAAACACCAAATGACATAAAAAATGTGTAGGGAAGATCAAGATGAGCTCTCCATGCCAGTCCCATTTCCCTAGATCCTCCCTCGAGTTACGTCCTGTCTCCACTCACTTAGGAGGCTGATATTCGAATATATGGTCTGGCATGCCCCCCCTCCCTGAGCCCAATTCTTAAAATTTGGGATGGATACAACCCCAGGAAAATTGGCAAAAAAACCTATCCTGGGCATTGGATTAGAGTTGGGGTGGGACAGAGGTGGGACAAGGTCGTAGGGTTACTGTCATCTCATCAAGACACTATGCATATGTCAATTTGGTGACCTAGGCCCAAAGGTTGCAGAAACATGGCCCCAGTCTCTTTGGTACTATGTGGACCCTGTGGAACTTTAAGGCCCAAATATTATTTTGTTCAGCATCAAAACATCCATCGACACCAGAAAGGCACCAAGCAATTCAAGATGAGCACATCTGTCTGGATCTCATGTCCCTAGCTCCTGCCAAAAGATGGCCTTCATGAATTTCCTGCCACACTGTTACTACTGCAATTGCATTATAGGGTTGTGTGGCCGCTTTGATACTAGTCCCTGAGTTTCTAGGCCTCTAGGGTCATATATGGATACTTTAGAACATTATTGTTAGCAAATTGCTATGTCCACCAAATTTTATGTCATGCATTAGCACATTTTGACAACAGCCCAGTATGGTTAAATTGGCATTTAAACCTGCTTTTTTTTCAAGGGTAAGGAACCAGTAGCACCATAAGGTCTGAGTAGCACCAAATAGCTAATACCATTAAACAATGTTCAACATACACTAAACTGTGATACATTGATGACTACACTATACCAAATATTGTGATGGAGTTTGGAGCAAGACATTGCTCAATGTGGGCTGGCCACTTTAATGCTATTTAGACACGTTGGTGCTATTTGACCCAAGCGCTGTAGCAAACAAAACCAAAATGCATGTCTAATCGGTGTCATGAGTAACAACAATAGAGTCTGCACAGTTACATTACATGTCTGTTTATCCAATGCTTCATGTTTGCACAAACACACACTAAACTCTATGGAGTCATAACGCCCCCACCCCACAGTAAATTCTGTAAAGGCATAAAGTACCCCTACCCCCCCCACACACACACTAAACACTTTGAAGGCATAAAGTACCCACACACACACACACGCACACAAAATTCTCTGGAGGCACACACCATGTAAACTCTGTGAAGACATAAAGTACTGCCCCACAACACACAGTAAACTCTGTGGAGACATACAGTACTGCACAGTAAACTCTGTGGAGACATATGGTACTGTCCCCCCACACACAGTAAACTCTGTGGAGACATATGGTACTGTCCCCCCAAACACAGTTAACTCTGTGGAGACATACAGTACTGCACCTCACCAACACACTTTAGGCATGTATGAGCTCACTGTTCAAACATGCAGCTTTTCCTGAGACACACACACACACACACAAACTTTCCTCAGCTCCTTAAACTGGCAGAGGTCCAAAAGAGAGTTTGCACGCACACACACACACACACACACACATACACACACTCAGAACAGGCAAACACGCAATGCTTGCAGCACTGAGTGAGTGAACGAGCTGCCATGGTAACAAAACTCCACCCCTTTAGGGTGGGGAGCGGATTTTTAAGCTGTGGAGAAAACACTGCTCTACTTTTCCTACAGAAAGAGTGAGAGAGAGCAGGGGATAGAGAGACAGTCAGAGAGAGAGAGAGAGAGAGAGAGAGAGAGAGAGAGAGGGGTGGGGCTTCTCAGTCTGGAAACAGAAACTTTTTCCTGAAAAACACCGAACAAGCTCTGACAAGAGCACACACACACACGCTCACAGGGCGTGGTGCAGCAGAGTGTTAGACAGTGCGAGTGTGAGCTGTGCTGTGAGTGTGTGTGAAAATGGGTGAAGACGGAATTCAGATCGAAAGAAGGAGCATTACAGACGGACATGAGAGCCAAGAGCTGCACGTCCCGGACCCCCCGGACCCCTCGCAGGTTCACACCCTGTCCCAGCCTGAGCCAGATGGTGTGTGTGCCATCACGGTTCTGACCCTGCTGGACCAACTGGTGAAGATGCTGGATCGCGTCCAGGAGGACCAGAGCCGTCTGGAACAGCGACAAGCTCAGGTGGAGGGCGCTGTCCTCGGGATCCAAAACAACATCACCAAACTCAGCAAAAACCACAGCATCACCGCAAACACCCTCAGCAAGCTGCTGGACAAGAGCCGCAAGGTCAGCGTGCACATGAAGGAGGTCAGAGATCGCATGGAGAAACAGGCCGTCCAGGTGAAGAAGCTAGAGGCCAACCACGCGCACCTGCTCCACAGAAATAACTTCAGAGTGCTCATCTTCCAGGTGAGGGGGCATGTCTATAACAGAAGTGGGACAAAAATCAGTAAATAATATCGTGATACAGTCTCTACTGAAGCATGATCAGCAGACTGGAACCAAAATATCTAAACCCTAAACTGATCAATCAGCATGACTTCTGAGATTTACCTGAGGGTCACTACTGCACAACTCCTCTAGAGGGTGCTACTCCAACTGCAATAAAGGTAGAGTGAATAAAAGCTAGCTAAAGTGGAAAAAGAAAAAAATCAAATTAATAATTTTCAGCGTTAGTCTATCAAAACTAAAAACAGATGTGTGTGTGTGTGTGCGTGTGTGTGTGTGTGTGTGTTTGAGTGTGTGTGTATATGTGTGTGTGTTTGAGTGTGTGAGTGTGTGTGTTTGTGCGTGTTTGAGTGTGTGTGTGTGTGTATGTGTGTGTGTGTGTGTGAGAGAGAGTGTGTGTAACAGTGCAGCTCTACATTTCACAGATTTAAAACATCTCAGACATTTGACAGTTAGAGTCAAAGGTCAGGGGTTAAGCACTTAGCTTTAGCAACCTGGGTGTGGAAAATCTCTCTCACACACACGCAGACATTCTCTTTTTCATACACAAATACATGCACACATACACATTCTCTTAGGTACACAGTGACACACTCCCACTTACACACATACAAACACACTGAGTCTGTGTGTGTGTGTGTGTGTGTGTGTGTGTGTGTGTGTGTGTGGGTGGGTGGGTGGGTGGGTGTGGGTGGATATGTGTGTGTGTGTTTGAGAGAGGGAGAGAGAGAGAGTCTTTGTGTGTGTGGTTTGATGCTACATCAGTTTTGACTATGACAGTTCAGTAGAACATTAAATGATTTACTACCCATAATTCTGCTTTATTGAGCTGTACACGGCCTTGTAAATTTATGAAATGGTAATGAGGTAAATTAAAGTATTAGTCACCGAACATTGATTTTGTAGTATATATATTGGTTGTTTAGCATACATATATATGAGTGTAATTATTGGATTCTAAGTTTATGCATTGGTTATATAGCATACATTAATATATATATATAGAGAGAGAGAGAGAGAGAGATAACAAGCTAAATAATTCAATGCCAATTTTCTTGTTGTTACTAAGTAATAAGTTAGTAATTATAGTGATAACTAGTCATTAATAAAATGGTAAAGTAATGTTAACAATCTAGTCTAAAATGACTTTCTAATGGTTAAAAAGTAATTAATAATTGTAATGGTAACTTTTTGATACTAAAATGGAAAAATAATAAAATGTTACATTTCTAATTTATTAGACGACACTCACTGTAGCTTTTTTGTCTCTTTTTTTCTTTTTTTTTGCATTAATAGGAATAAAGTGTCCAGTTATTACAGCACAATATCCACTTAATCAACACATAATATTATGGTTAGTACTGTATACAGTTCAGTTAAGATTACACGGAGCAGTAAATTACTAATTTACTCGTTTCTGCTGAGATTCTTACCTATTACATGTATAAACTGTCAGTATGATGTGCAAACATAGTTACAGGCTGTAATTACAATAAAAAAAATATGAGAGCTGTAAAATGCAAACACACTTTATTCCATCTTGTTTCTGCAGCTCATATAATTTGAAAACCTCAGTTTTTTAGAATAATGTGGCAAATTGCAATTACTGTATTCTAATTTTTACATGTTGTTCCACCTACAGACAGTGTAGTTCTTCAGGAAATATGTAATAAATTTACTGAGATTTGACAGAATCAGGACTGGAAATACAACATCACATCTCCCTTCAGTGTTACCTGTTAGTTAAACACTGCTATTCAATTACAAAGCACAGATCTGACAAAAGTCCTGTGACACACACACACACACACACACACACACACAGGAGCAGTGAAGTGTATGATGGTGTATTTTTATTGCAGTATCTGTAAGGAAGCCTAATAAGGCTATCTTTCTATCTTTAACTCGGTGTGGGGGTGGGGGGGTCGTTTTCTACAGTTTCTCATTAGGTTGAAAGAATAACTGGTATTGTGATACTGAGTCTGTTCTACAGTTTCTCATTAGGTTTTAACCAGTATTCTGTAAAGCTTTTACAGAACTTGTAACAATTATATAATAATAAAAAGTTTATAACATCTATTTAGCACCTTTAACAATCCCAAGGTCGTTTTACATAAAAAACACACAAAACATTTCCAGGCGGTTGCTACAGTGTCCAAGATCGTTGCTAAGGTGTTGCTAGTTGGTTGCAATGGTGTTCCAGGTTGTTGCTAAGCAGTTGCTGCTACTCTGGTGGTGGTGGTCTGTTTCTCTCAGAGTTATGTAAGAAGCTGCTGGGAATTCTGTGTGTAATTTAACTCAGACTGTCCCCACTCCGTAAATCCCAGACAAATCCTTGATTTTTGCTGTACAGTCTTTCAAAAAAGCTTTTTAGTAAATCTCAGTGGTTAAATATAGAACTATGACAACTCAAAAAAGCACATGGTTCTGCGTAGCTGCAAAACAGGATTCTGCCATATGAGTAATCTTACATTTTTTTGGTATAATATAGAACCCTTTTATGAGAAAAACAGTAAGAGTATTTTCCTTTACCCTGCTCACCCCATCCTAATCTGACCCACCCACAGCAGCCCTCCACCTCCCCACAGCTGGCCGGTGGAAACTCTGAACTGCTTCCTTCCCTCCGCTCTCCATTCTTCTGCCATTCTGATCATTTCCCCACAGAAGAGTGTGTGTGTGTGGGGGGGGGGTGGCGCATTTTTGACTCGTTCACTGCTAACAGCAGATTAAACTCTAAACAAATATCAAAGCATTAAACCTGCTGTGAATCTATCAGTAGATGCCACATAAAACACTCAATGAATCTATCAATGAATGATTAATAAAGCACCAAGTGAATCTATCAGTGAACAATCAATAAACACATAGTGAACTATCATTAAAGCACTCAGTGAATCTATCAGTGAACGATTAATAAAGCACCAAGTGAATCTATCAGTGAACGATCAATAAACACATAGTGAACAATCATTAAAGCACTCAGTGAATCTATCAGTGAACGATCAATAAAACACTCAGTGAATCTATCAGTGAACGATCAATAAAACACTCAGTGAATCTATCTGAAAATGATCAATAAAACAGCCCCCAAACTCTAACCTCAACTGAACTAATGAGTCATTAGTAAGATCTTAACAAATTAATAATAATGTGATGCACACTGAGTGTGAGTGTGTGTGTGTGTGTGTGTGTGTGTGTGTGAGTGTGAGTGTGTGAGTGTGTTATCAGAGTAAAAAGTGAAATCAGTTTTCTTCTGGAATTTCAAACATTTCCAAAAGTAAACACAGTCAGAGTCGATCTTTAAACTTTATAGTTTTGTAACACATTTAATCACATTTTTTCCATTTTAAAGTAACAGGAATAGTTTCCATGTGGAAACGACCCACAATCTCCAGCTTCTCCTCCCACATGGGCCCGGTTGTCCAGGCAACCAGATACAAACAGACACAAAACAGTCCTGGAGCAGAAACTCCTCCAACTCAGCGCTGGCACATCCCTCACCGAACACATAAACAGAAAAAAAAATAAAATTCAGTTAAAATGTGATTTAAACTCAGTAATACAGAATTCAGTTCCGTTTCATTATAAATACATAGTTCATAAAGAGGATTACATACAGATTAACAGAGAACTGCAGACAAAACTTACACTAAACTTATCACACACACGCACTCACACACACATATTCATTTATACACACTCACACTCTCACACACTGAACATTCCAACAATCAGGCGTCACGTGACTGAGCTGTTTGTGGAATGAATCATCATCGGTTAGAATCTCGCTGGGAGCTGAAACTAACAGTGTCTTTAAATATGATGTGCTAATTGCCATCAGCCTTGTTGATTTTAGCGTCTGGTTCTAGACAAATTCCACCCTAGATCAACTCTCACCAAAGGAAAAGTGAATATCTAGAAATAACATCATAATCGAATTACTGAGCCGCTGAGGAGTGAACAAAACTGTCCAGCGCATCCAGCATCGTACAGAATTCATGTTTAGGTTAATTTATGCTTCCAGATTAAAAAGATCTGACTTGAGAACAGATTCTACGAGCTGCTGAGTTCACTGTGCTGGAATATTGTACATGCAGAAATAAGTGCACTGGATAACTAATGCTGATTATTACCAATAATGTTAAAATATAACCATTCAGGTATTCTTCAGTGGTTTCTTCATTGGGTTCTTCATTGGGTTCTTCAGTGGCTTCTTCATTGGGTTCTTCATTGGGTTCATCATTGGGTTCTTCATTGGTTTCTTCAGTGGGTTCTTCTTGAGTTCTTCAGTGGGTTCCTTAGTGGGTTTTTCAATGAGTGTCAGGAGCTCTAATGTGTGCCCAAGAAAAAAGAAAAAACACACACACACACACACACGAAAATGCTACCCCCTCCAGCTGCACTGTTTACGCCAAACAGGAGGATCTCTGGGCTCACGCTGCTGTGCTAAATTCTGAAGTCCGATACATGGTGCACTCTGAGATGATGTTCTGCACAGCAGTGATGGTTTGCCTGGTTAAAGTCCTTCTGTTTGATCCTCTCTCTGCTTTTCTGTTGTTAAATTTATGCTGTTGGATTGTAGTGAAATCTCCATAACGAGGTTAAGCCCCCTCAAACCTCATCCCCAAAAAGTCCTCTAGTCCATGTTTTTTTAATGCCCAGAATACATTCAATAACGCATGCAAATTTTGCTAACAGAACAGTTTTTCTCTTGTAAGAAGAAATATTTATGTTTGCTACATGTAAAAGTGTTTTCCACACACACACTAACATCTCCATACTTATAGATGCAATTATAAGATTTTTAGTTTAAAACATTCCAGAACTAAACGCAATTATCAACAGAATGTGAAGAAATAACTGTTTTGATGTTATGTCTGTGTATCATGTTGCAAAGGTATTCACTGAAGTTAACATGCTAACCAGCTAGCCCATCCTGTCTCATAATACCACTTTGTACCTCAAGAGGAGATAGTGAGTCACTGTTGCAGCAAATCTATCATCAGTCCAACATGAGAGAATGAAGATGTAGCGCTGCCCTGAGGGAGTGTTCTAACCGCTTATCAGTCATGTTAAAAGTACCACTAATTGTTTAAATTTACTGAAGTTAATGTTTTAATATGTTTGCTAGTTAGCTGTTTGTTGGTTTGCGGTTCAGACCAGTTAGAACAGATGAGGCTGATGTCAGCTTCTTATTCACCAGCTTCCTATTCGCCAGCTTCCTATTTGCATTTTTCCGTTCCACCTTAAATGGTGCAGTAGTATTCTGGCGCCCAGTGCTGCTGCACCGTTTTACGTGGAATGGGAAAATGCAAATAGGAAGCTGGCGAATAGGAAGCAGACTTCAGCCTCATTTCGAATGGCTGTATGTGGCTAACTCATTCAGCTGATCATCTACCAAACTGAGGCAATTTTATGTAAAAAATAAACCAGGCATACTGACCTTTTTTTAATTCAAAAAAGACATTTTGGGCAGCTAATGAATTTACAAACCATTCCTAAATACATTTCAAATGGCATCAATATACGGTTTTCCTGTGTCTCATTAGAAGTAATTTACTACTATAGTCTTCTTAAAAACTGAGCTAAGCAAATAATGTAAACTGTAGGCTGACTCCACACATGAAGACTACAATATAGCAGTGTTATCTTGACCAGTTCTCAGCAGGGTTTCATCAGTTTGATAACTGGTGATTTCTTGCTGCTTATTTGTTTGGAGTATAAATTCAACAGCTTGTATCATCTCATAAATTGGTCCATTAAGTAGGTTTGTTGCGGAACTTTTCAGCCATGTTTCAAGTTTCAAGTTTATTTGTCATTTGCACAAAATGTCAGGACATTCATTCACTGAAATGCTAGTGGTGAGGCACAGGTAATCACTCTACAGCAGGGCAGCATTATATACACTGATCAGGCACCTCCTTGTTTCTACGCTCATTGTCCAGTTTATCAGCTCCACTTACTATATAGGTGCACTTTGTAGTTCTACAATTACAGACTGTAGTCCATCTGTTTCTCTGCATACTTTGTTAGCCCCCTTTTACCCTGGTCAGGACCCCTATGGACCCCCACAGAGCAGGTACTATTTGGGTGGTGGATCATTCTCAGCACTGCAGTAACACTGACGTGGTGGTGATGTGTTAGTGTGTGTTGTGCTGATACGAGTGGATCAGACACAGCCATGCTGCTGGAGTTTTTAAACACTGTGTCCACTTACTGTCCACGCTATTAGACACTCCTACATTGTCAGTCCACTTTGTAGATGTAAAATCAGAGACGATAGCTCATCTGCTGCTGCACAGTTTGTATTGGTCATCCTCTCATCCTTCATCAGTGGTCACAGGACGCTGCCCACAGGATGGTGGTGGTGTGTTAGTGTGTGTTGCGCTGCTCTTAGTGGATCAGACACAGCAGTGCTGCTGCTGTTTTCATTATGAGGTCACATCTGGCCCCAATAGTGCTCTACTTGACAGCACTTTTTGGTCTTTTACAGGGGTGTGTTTGCAAAACTTCAACACAAAAGTTCTGTGTGTGTTTTGTGTTTCAGGACGAGACCGAGATTCCCTCCAGTGTGTTTGTGAAGGACCCGCCGCCATTCCCCCGTGATGCTGAGAATGAATCTGTGACTCTCGACCCCAACCGCTCGCAGGAGGAGCTCCATACCATCCAGCTTTCCTCTGATGAAGAGCTGGGGCCTGAGGAGGAAGAAGAGGATGAAGAGGAAGAATATTTGGGAGTGATAGAGCTGGCTGGAGAGCATGTAGAAAAGTCTCGTGCCGAGAAGATCAAGCGATCCAGCCTCAAGAAAGTGGACAGCCTGAAGAAGGCCTTCTCCCGGCAGAACATCGAGAAGAAGATGAACAAGATCGTTTCTCCAGAGAAGCGTGAGAAGATCAAGAAGAGCCTGACGCCCAGCCACCAGAAAAACCCTGGCGCCAAGAGCTCCTCCTTCAAGGTTTCCCCACTCTTTGGCAGGAAGAAGGTGAAGGAAGTTAAGGAAGAGCCCGAAGGGGAACAGCCTGCAGAGGCTGAGAGTTCCTCCATCGCTGCAGCAACCATTGAGCTCGACCCTATAAACAGCCCTGACCAGAATCTGACCTTCACTCAGGTCCACTCCCAATTGGCTCCCGATCAGCAAGAGTTGAAAGCCACCTTTGAAGCCATGGAGAAGGAGGAGGTGGTCATGGAGAAGGAGGAGGAGGTCATGGAGAAGGAGGAGGTGGTCATGGAGAAGGAGGAAGTGGCTGAGGGGGTGAGTGAGGAGTACGCTCTGTCCGCCACACTGCCCCAGGATGCCTCCCCTGGAGAGATCTCCCACAATGCTCTGCACAGAGAGGAGGAGGAGGAGTATGAAGATCAGGAGAAGGAGAGATATGAAGGTGCCGTTCAATCTGGAGGGGGCGCTGTGGAGTCTTAAATTTCTTACACACACTCACACACACTCCTGTTCTCAGTCGAGCAATACAAACACACATTAGATTCAGCTCTGACTGTTTAAAGCGATAGATCAGTTCAGATTACCCCAGTTTCCCCCACTGACCCCCCCCCCACAACTGACCCCCTCTCACTGACTCCCCCACTGACCCCACCAAGAAAATACTATTGATGATTGAGATGTGTTTTGAGATGTGTTTGGTGTCTGAAGTTTACTTCTTTAATGTTAGAGCTCTGAGGCTAATGTAGCTAACAAGTAATCAGCAATAAACAAGCCTTGGCTGTTTGAGTAAGGGGGGGTCAAAGGGGCTGGGGGGGTCGACTGGGGGAATTTTTTTATCACTTTAAGAGCTGAAGGATGAGCACACACCCAGCTCTGCCTGCACACCCTGCAACTCTTCTCTACCCACAATGCATCTGTTCTGGAATGTTCCATGAAAGCAAGCTGGACTTCATCCTGTTTCCTGTTTACAGAATCTACAGCATCGCAGCGCCACCATCAGGACAAAACACAGAAATGAGTGTTTAAGTGTCCTGTTATAATCTGCTTCAGTCTTTAAGCGCGTTGTGCTTAATTAGCATCAAATACTGTGAATCTCTGAAGTTCTGAATATTATCAAAGTCATGTTTAACAGCCAATCAAATGCGCTGGAATAATAACAGAAGGATGTTTGAGTGTCCTATCAGACAGTTTTAAACTGTATTAAACTAAATTAGAGTGCAACAGAGTGTATTTTGGCTGTTTACGATGTTTCAGTGATGTTGATGTTGAGAGCAGATAGTTCCTTAAACAAATATGGCTGTGTAGATTAAAAAGAGACAGAGAGAGAGAGAGAGAGAGAGGTGGAAAAAAACATGAGTTTGGCTGTTGCATAAAGTCAACGTTTTGTCAAATTAAAAGCCAATTTACAACTGTCATTTTGTGGAAGAAAAGGGTTTAATTAAGAAATTTATCCACTAACAGATATAAAACCAGAAAATTAACAAATCTATTAGAGCTAAATCTGTTTGGAGAGAAACGTTATGATACAAACATTTCATATTACTAATGAAAACATCTTTAATATATTTTTATCTCTGCACTGAGTGTAGGCGTGTGTGTGTTTCAGATGTGAAAATCTTTAACTTTAACTCTGATTCTAACACTTTTCTTCCTCACACTTAGAATATTTGAGCTGTATTTGTGTAATCGAGCTGATCACTGACACAGCACTGTATTAGTGAAGCTTTAATGTTCACAATTATATTATGAAAAATTACTGATGCCAAAGAATCTGTTTGAATTCAGAATCTTCACCTTCATTTATTACTGAAGCACCTGTTTCTGTTTATTCTCACAGTGAAAAATGAATAAAACTTTCTGAAACTCCTGAGTGGGATTTTTTCCTCAACCAGACTGACCGTGTGTGTGTGTGTGTGTGTGTGTGTGTGTGTGTGTTTACTGAGATAAAATTTTGGGTCAGTAAGTTCAGTGTAAATCAGTTCCATTGTTATAGGTCAGATATCTAGACATCTATTAAAAAAGAAAATTACCAATTACCAATAACCATTTTTAAACTAATACATCTGTATATGTAAACATTACATGTTACACATATAATAAAAGTAAAGTACGAGTGAAATTCCTTAATCACCTGTCCAGTGTAACTGTCAATAAAACTCAGCAGTGATTTCAGTGTCAGTCAGTAAAACACAGTCCAGATCTTTCCCGGATGTTGTATGTTCAGGCTGGACTCTGCACTTTACCGCCTCCTGCCGATCCGCAGCGGAATATGCTGGCGAACAAAGACAACATCAACAAACATGCAACATACTGGAAGAAACTAAGTGGCGCGTTAAAATGGCGTGTTAATGAAGTCAGCAGTAAGATTTAAGCATTAAATGCTTTCGAGGAATAAAACTAAGAAACAAAAACGAGGCTGTAGCCAGCTTCTTATTCGAATTTTCCCGTTCCACCTTAAATGGTGCCGCGTACACGCTGGCGCCTCAGGCGTTATAATAACAATGCTGCACCATTTAAGGTGGAACGAAAAAAATGGAAACAGAAGCTGGCGAGTAAGAAGGCAAATTCAGCGTCCTAAAACAAAAGTCAGTTTGGCGTCTTTTTGCGATGTTGTGGTTGTGGTTTTGGTAACAACACTAAACCGTGTTATTGCCAAGATTACATCGTGAGTATTTGAAGCCGCGGGGGGAGCTGCTCGGCGCGGTCACGGTGGCCGAGAGGTTAAGGCGTTGGACTCGAAATCCAATGGGGTTTCCCCGCACAGGTTCGAATCCTGTTCGTGACGATCGACTTTTTGCCTACAAAACACTTTAATTCAGTTCACTGAGTAAACACAGCCCTGTCATATCGGCTGATTTAGAGGTAAATTTACGCTATATATATATATATATATATATATATATATATATATATATATATATATATATATATATATTAAACAGCCTGTCGAAAGTTTGAGGACGTTTTTTAAAATTCTTTCAAAAGTAAAATAAGTAAACTGGACTGTAAGTGGAAAACGAACGATGATAAGTGGAATTTTGTCTAATAGTCTGCTTAAACACCCGTGGGCTGCCTGGAAAAACGCTGAGCAAAACATCAGTGGACCACCAGCTTTGATCCTCATGCTATGAGGGAACTTCTTTATATGAGGATCAGTTTGTAAATAATAATTTGAGTTTAATTTTTCAGACTGTTGTTAGAAGCTCACGCTGAGATCTTTGGCTTTATTGCTGAGGTAGAGCTTTTATCAGCTGCTCCTTAAGTTTTGTAGTTTATTATGAAGAAAGACACAACGTTTCCACAGATTTTTGTTAAATAAATACAGTCATTGCTAAATAAGCTGCTCCTCTTAGTAAAACATTTGAAACAGAAGGCGGCAGTTTTTACTTTCTCTGTGTTAACACACACATTTCACACACCTCAGGGCTGGATTAAGACCCTGTGCTGTTCCTGCCCTGCTGAAAAAGGACCATTAGAAATCATTAGGATTAAGACCTAGTTTCGCTTTCTAATGAGAACTGACTCACTGCAGTTGCAGTACATTTAGAAAAGAGCCCAAACAAAAATGCACCTGCGACTCTATGATTTTCTCCCACACTTCACCAGTAAGCGATCAAATGACAACACACGCAAAAAGGTGCAGAAAACAGTGTGAATGAAGCTCTAGTTGTCACCCAAGGCAACCTCTGAACCTGTAGCTCCACTGCCGGAATCTGCCCCACTGCAGTAAGAATGCAGTTTCTGGAGAGTGTTGTAAGTTTGCTAATTCCCCGTCTCTAATCCGCCCTGTTAGTTCGGCTCTCCCTTGGTTTTTTGTTTGGTTAAAATGTAATTTCATTTCTTGAGCTCAGTCTTGAGTCTTTGTCCACAGCGGCTGGGCACTAGTACTTGAGGGTTAGGATGAGTTCCCGCACAAGGCCACTCAGTCCTGTTACAGTGTTAAAACAGAAAAAATAGTTGTTAAATTACCAAATTAGCTAGCATAAGATTAGCCATATTTTTTACATCGTTTTTCTGAGCTTTTCACAGCAACGTTAGCTACTTCAACCCGTGTCAGCTGAGCTGCAGCTTCCCAGAAACGTTAATGTTTTGGCCATTAAAGTGACATGAAAGCAGTTCAAGTGTACAAGTTAGCTAATATTGGTTAAAGAAAAAAAAATACTAATTGCAATCTGTAAGCGTTTCTTATTTCCTTATTTTTCATCATTAACAGTAAACAGAAAATGTTTTGTGTTACAGCATATATCTCCAGGCTGAAGTGCATAACTGGATGCACTTAACATGTTTTGTTTTTTTATCATAACGGTGTTTTAAGTTCGAATTTATCAGTACAGCTTGTCTTGCTATAATAAAAGTAAACTAGTGGTGACTTTAACCTTAGCAGTTGCTACCTGGGCTCTTAGTAGGCAAACTGCTAAGGTTTTGCTCTGTTTTCCAGATATCATATATCTGAATCTTGCAGATGTCACATCCTCCATCTAAAAAAATCACAGATTATTGGCATATCATCAACATTTTTTTGTGTTAATGTCACTGAATCCGCAGGTTGTCATTAATGGCTGATATCAGCCAACCAACACACAGTGGCACTTATAGTTTCAAAATAATGAAAAAGGAAAAGGGTCTAAAGGAAAAGTTTGGGCGCCCTGCAAAGTCAGTACTCCGTAACGCCCCCATTACAGCCTGTAAACATTTTTTGTAGCGGCCAATAGTCTTTCAGTTCTTGTTTGCATGATTTTCTGTTTCTAGTTCTGTGAAATTCTTTGGCCGTCCTGCACGCACTGCTTTTTTGAGGTCAATCCACCGGTTTTTCATGATGTGTCGGTCGGGGGACTGTGAGGGCAAAAACTTCAGCTTGCGGTTATTGAGGTTTATTATCCTGTTGTAGTAGCCGTCCTCTCTTCACCCCTGTTTTTTACAGACAGTGTGAAGTGACGAGTATACGAGAAAGGCAGAAATAAAATTTAAAAAATAAATGTCGTAGATATTTTCAGTTTAAGTTTAGGGAGACATGATCAGAATGATTCAGTTGCAGGATGAGCAGAAGGTTAGTGATAGTTTAGTCAGTTTAATTATTCTGATTTCCTGAAAAAAATAAAATATAATTACCATTGAGTTATGGTGAATATTCTACAACACAACTGCTGAGATGAAGTGAGCACAAACATGCTTGTTAGGACAAGCGGGTGGTGAGGAAGCTGAATCAGTGCAATCAGTGCCTATAATTTCTTGTTTTGTACGACAGCAGAGAGAAAAGATGAACGTTTCTGCACCTCTCTGCTTCTGAAGCGCTCGTGTTCTCATGATGGATTTGGCAGCATAAATAAACAAGAACAAAATTACAGTCCACACGAATCGCTGTCTGTAAGTTACTCTTTTACATGTGTACACTAGCACAGAGCTACATCAGAAACAGCTATCATAGACAGAGAGTGGATTCAGTCGTTAGACCTGGAGGCTCTATATCAGCAGGGGGCGCTGTTTATCCAGCACTGAGAAGGCTGCAAATAATATTTACAAATCCTACCGGTAATTTGATCAAAAAATATAAAAATATTTTAAATACAAACACTGTATGTTATTCTCTTTTGCAGTTATGTTCCAATTACTCCAAACCAGAGCCTAACTCTGCAGTGTAACAGGATTAATAGATAAACCTTGATTTATTCCAAGTTTACGATTAATCCTTGTTGGTTCAACAAACACTAAGATTCATCATTCAAACAAGCAGGCAGGTAAACACTGGGCAATTTCTCAATAATAAACCAAAACCTGCCCCTCAGTACCGGCCCCTCTGGAGGTCTCTACATGCCAGTCTGTGCATGTTTGTGTTTTGGCAAATGTTTGTGTGTAATGTTCTGAGAAATGTTTATTTAAAAAGAAACATAAAATGAAGCTTCCATAGAGTCACCGCTGAGAAAACTTTGACGGATCCATTTGCAGATCCACCTGCATCAGTGAAGTTTAAGAACTAATAACTTCTCAGGTATAAACCTTAAACTGTAGCTGAGCTCATGACCGCACAGTGGACACCATGAGTTTCTCCCTCAGGGGTGCTGGCTGGGCAAGTAAAGATTCGAGGCTCAGTCCAGTTCACTATAGAATTGGTCTGTAAAATTGTCCCCCAGAATTTTTTTAATTAACCTGTAAAATGTGCAGTAGCTACTTTTTTATTTAATATAAGGATTTATACACGTTAACAACATGATTCAGAAATGTTTCCAGTGCTGCATAAAAAAAAAAAACAAAAAAAAAGAAGAAAACGCTAAAATGCTTTACAGTTTCTCATGGAAAAAAACGTGCCAAAAACAGAGATGATGCCTCAGTGACACCTCTGCACATCTTCTCTCCCTCAACCATCTCTTCTACACACATCCTCTCTAACGTACTGCTAACATACAAACTATTTATTTGAAGCTTTTATACATTTTTGAAGCTGAAAAGTCTTTCAGTCAAATTTTTCTTGCCTGAAATCAAACAAGAAACAATATTTACATATAAAATATCGCAATTCCATCTGGCTGAAGTCCTGATAAACACTGCTGGAGATCTGCAGCCCAACTAAGTATCAGGTAAACATTCATTTACCCACAACGTCAGGCTGAGTTTGGGCTGCTGTTAAAATTAGTGATTTTTTTTATGTACCCTGTAAAAACGCACTTGGATGAAGTAAGAAATGCAGCTGCATGAGTTTTATTAAGTTAAAGTAATTTTCATTTTACAGATTACAGATGAACGTTTTACAGAGATTTCAGGCTTTCAGCAATTCTCTCTCTCTCTCTCTCTCTCTCTCTCTCTCTCTCTCTCTCTCTCACTCTCACACTCTCTCTCTTTCTCTCTCACTCTCCCTCTCACTCTCCTTCTCTCTCT